ATACAAGAGTTATTTGATGACAACGGACTTTCATTCAGAAAGGGTAAAGAGTTATAAGAATTATCATTTGTATCATACTTTCTTCGCAACGTTATATTACTGCTAGATTCCATGTTCATTTATGTGCTCTTTAACTTAGAATTTTTACTAGAATTATTACGAAATTATTTTTTTACTTTACTGATTATCAATTACTTTATCTTATTATGAAGAGAAATCGAGGGGTTTTCTAGGAAACTTCGTCATTAATAATCTTAATATTTAACTAAGCGAAATTATAATCGTCAATCTATTACTTTATAATATTTTCAAGACACACAAAAAGTTATCCTAATGCCGGGATGCGAACTCACGATTTCTTGTGCGGTACGGGCGTTTTTAGGCGTATACCGCCACGCCACGGTGACTTTTGAATGAATAGTTGAAGTAGTCGACTACTTGCTGTTTACTGTTATTTAAAATGCACTGAGATCGTTATTATGATTCATGCTGCAAAAATTTATTGCACTGTCGATGTTAATCACTAATATTATTTTGTGTGTATTCTAATGTTTTTGTCACTGTATATGGTCACTTTACACTATGTTCAGTGTATTTTAAACTTTTGTTTAGTTCTTATTATTTTCACTAAAAACTTACAGCAGAATAAAAACAATTTTTTAATTGTTATTTTTTATGTGCAAATTTGTCACATTTATATAGACAACACTGTCACTATAATTTTGGATGTTTATTTGCAGTTTCTGATAAAAGAAAGTAAGAATTACAACTGTTTTACAATTTTAAATTATTTTTATCACGGACGCGACGTTAACATCTCACGCTCGCAACGCGTACGTGTAGTAGTAGTATAGTAGTAGTAAAGTAAGTAGTAGTTTTGTAAAGTAAAGTAAAGTTTTTCGACATCTGTGACGTTCTTATGGCCCGCGAGCGAGCCGTAAGCATGCGGTTTTTTTACTCGCGAATCGTCGTTCCTTTATACACTAAAAGTTAATTTTTTACTGCCTACTACGCCCATTGAGTTATACAACTAGAGGAGCAAACCACATTACCGCGCGTCGAAAAATGTGTAACCACTATCCAAACGCGACGACGTAGCTTTGAAACTAATAACAATTTTAAATAAACATATATCTATCTCACTTACACAAGTTACGTAAACAATATCGTCGCTAAAATTAGATAAAGATAGACACACAAACATGCAATGGCGGGTTGGTGTGGCTTACTATATAAAATTTTACCTAAAATACGCAATAAAAATGAGTTTTTTTTTAAGCTTCAGTTAATTGTTTTTATATTAAGAAAGTATATTATATTTTAAAATCTTTATTGCGTCCCCTTAGAAAAAAAGAATACAAAGCTTATCAGATGAGTTAGAAGTACATAATGATGAAATAAAACATATTTTTATAAAAATTTTTTACTGTACTAATAAATCAAGTAATATAAAATAGGTAGTGAAATATAATTAATATAAAATTTATATGAAATTTTAATTAATATAAAATTATTAATATAAGATATAAGGTAGTAAAATATATTTAATAGATAATTCATGAATAAAATAAAATAAGAATAATTATTTTGTATAAAGGTTGAAACATAGTTTTTATTTTTAAGCAATCAATTTTACTTGTTTATTTTAAAACAAAATTAACTTATTCCATAAATTATACAGTCTCCCATTAATGTGGAAAAATCACAAAGGCGGAAAAGTGGCAACATTGAACCTAAATTGCAATATTCGATATTTTATTTAATTTTTTAGTGTTTTAAACGTTAATATGAATATATAAATTAAAACTTACGTATGGAAAGTGATTCCGCTTGATTTATTATGTTTTTGTGACCTTGAAACGCATTCTTTCACTACGCATTTACCCATTTTTTGTTGTGAATCGTTCGGCTTAACTCGGACGGCGTCACCTTGAACACTGAACCGACGTTCGCTGAGTATAAGGCTGTGGCCTTATGTGAAGTGACAACGCTTTGGCGCGGAAATTACTTATCTAGTGTAACATATAAATCAATGACTACGCCCCACTCCTGTGCACAGGCCTCGTCTAATTTCTAAGAAGGTTTTAGGGTTAGGAAAAGTCGCTGCCCCAATTTTTCTACTATCTAAGAAGTGCAGGCTTCTTCATGATGTTTTTTCTACAGCGTAGAGCATGTGGTAAGACATCACTTAAAATTATAATTTACAATTTCATTGGTGCCGGTGGGGTTCGAACACGGGTTGCTTGTGTACTGTGATATTTACAGTGACTGCTTAGCCCCAGAGCTGCCACGGCTTCGCCACGGCCTTATGCAGTAGCCAAATAGTTATTCTTTAGAGGTTGTTGAAGCAATGTGCCAAATGTCATAAACACTGCTCTGAGGAATTGCTTGGACTAATTCCAGCAGCACAATTTCGCCATCGCACATCGCGACAAAACTCGCGATACCATCCATACCGTCCGGATGACTGGCGGTCCAACACTGTGCGATTTAAAAGAAGTTTTCTTTCTTGTGGAATTAATTACCACCAGAGATTTTTCCGAAAAGATACAGTTTAAGGACCTTCAAGAAAAGAGCCTTTTTAAAAAGCCGGTAACGCATCTGCGAGGATAAAATTTTTGAGGATACAAGTAAAAGTCAGAAACGAGCATACAGTCCACCTGATGCTAAGAATACTGTGACCTATCTCCGATTAGGAATCAAAATGGTGACGCGTTGTCATTAATGACGACTAAAAAGGAATGCTTCGTTAACATTAGAAAGGGTCTCCAGTTCATACAGCAGAATTATTCTGCTATTTTGTGATAGCGTGGTCTGTGCAGCAGTACACGCACTATGCAGTTGCAGTGTGGATCTACTGAGGAAGTGAGGAAATATAGAGTGCAACTGTGATTGCGCACACACACCCCACCCCCACATATCATCCCGTTAGTGTTGCAAGAGGTAACAGAATAGGACAAATCAGGAGATGGGCAGCAGCGTCTTAATAACGACAAAGTAGTAGCTGCGGTGACCATCCCGCCTGCCAAGACCCGAATCCCCCCTATGAGGCAATACATGGGAGTGGATTATGTCCGATAACGGACAAGAATCAAAATGCAGGTGCGTTGACACCCCTGAGGACTAAGATGGAATGCCTCGTTTCCAGCATAAAAGAGTCCGGATCTCTACACTCACCATACGAAACACAGCAGTATTAAGCTGCTTTTTTGCGCTGGTATTCTGTGAGAGTGTGGTCCTACCCCGGTCTAGCCGACCCATTCGTGCTGCAACCATAATGTATAGCTGCATAGTTGCTCTACCACGTATATAATATTGGGGGATAATATTAAACGACATATTAAATCCAGACTCCACACTCTCCATTGTAATATAGTATATAGTACAATGGGTTTTCACACTTATTATCTACGTGTTGTCCTCGAGTTCGAACTAAACTGTTTGCCTTTCACGTGTTTCTTCACCATCACTCGCCGTCAGGTGAGCCGCATCTTTTACCCTCTCTTCTATAAAAATGAGCTTTTATTTTGCTCAGATTTACCAGGCGGTCCCATAATGAACTGGCCTGATATAGTTCAACGCGACATGTCGCTGCATGTTGTGTTGCATTAATTAGTACGTTTATCGTGCACTTAATATAAGAAACATGCATCGACATGAAATGCTTACTCTTAGTTTAACAGGCATTTGAATAACAAGAGTCGCGTATTTTTTCAAAGTGTCGAAAACTGAGTATCGAAGTGTCATAAAGTTTCTGTTTAAAGAAGGTTTATCCCCTGCCCAAATAAAAGAACGACTGGATGGCGTGTATAAGGAGTCTGCCTCCTCCTATAGCACAGTGAAAAATTGGGTGAAATAGTTTTGCCTCGGGAGAGAAACCGTCGAAGACTTTGGCCACGACGGTCGACCTGTGGAAGTGCTCACTCCCGAAACGATTGCTCTTATCGAAGAGGAGGTTCTGAGTGACCGCCGTTTGAAGATTAGAGAAATTGCAGCAAGGCTTGGGCTCTCGAAGAGTACCGTTCATCGCGCGATCCATGAACATCTTCACATGAAAAAAAGTGAGTGCAAGATGGGTACCGAAACTTCTTTCAGCGGTACAGAGACAGGAAAGAGTGCGCTGCGCTTCGGAGTTTTTGGATCTTTGTGGCGAAATTCCAAAGACTGTGATCGAGCGGCTAGTGACTGGTGATGAAACTATGATCTTGTATTATGATCCACGTGGCGTTATAAGGGTGAAAAGCCCCCTAGAAAGGCAAAGGTGCAACAATCGACTAAAAAACTGATGTGCACAATATTTTGGGATTTTCAAGGCATTTTGATGGTGGATTTTAAAGAACGTAATACAGTCGTGAACGGCGAATATTATGCTTCTTTAATATATAAATTACGAGACAAGATAAAGGAAAAACGAAGAGGCAAGCTGTCTAAAGGTGTCCTGTTGCTCCATGACAACGCCCCTGTTCATACCGCTGGTGTTTCGAAGGATGCAGTTCGTCAATGCGGGTTCACAGAAGTTCAACATCCACCTTACAGTCCAGACATGGCCCCGTCCGACTATTATTTATTTCCAAATTTAAAGCGGGACTTAAGAGGAAGAAAATTTTCAAGCGATGAAGAGTTGCAGGCCGTCTTCAGTCATTTTGAGGATAAAAAATGTGATTATTTTTATAAAGGTTTAGAGATGTTGATTCACAGATGTCAGAAGTATGTTAGTATTCATGGTGATTATATTGAAAAATAAAATTGGTTTCGTTTCATTTCCTTCATTGGTTCATAGTTAGGCCAATTCATTATGGGACCGCCTACGTATCACCAGTTAGCGCTATATCATCACCACTTGCCTCCAGATGGTATTGTAATCAAGCATTGGCTTTAAGTTAAAGAGCATATGTAAGTGGGAAGACTAGCGTATATTGGAGAACATACATATCGTCTAATAATTATGTAACTAACCAAGTACAGATGTCTAACTGAGTTAATTTTCTTTTCTTTTGCAGAGATTCACACAATACTTAGCGTCGAGTAATTCGACGTTTCAACTAAGTAATTTCTTAGACAAAAGCGGGGTGCAAGGTATGTATTAAAATATTTTATTCCTTAAATAATGTTAAAGCTAAATAGTAACTAGAGGATGTTACTTAAGGTATCACAATGGAATGCTTGTCTTTGGGGTGTTACCATTGTTTTATCTTGAAATGTCGCGATATAAAGTCGCGGCATAAAATCTACGTTTGTACGTACGTAATAACATAACCTTACTCTTAAGAATCGAAGTCAATATAAGAATTTCTTAAAGTTAAGTGAAGCTCTCTCTATCTCTCTTTGTACTAAATGACAATAGAATGAGACAGGTATAGAGAAAATATTAATAAGTAATTTAAGTAAGCAAAAATTGACGATGATAAGTAAAACCGTTAATTACACAAATTATTTTCGAAAAATTACATTACTGTAACATTGTAGGGGATGAAATATATAAAAGACAACACGATGATGGAATGTAATGTTTTGTAAATAATATATGACAGTGGATTTTGTTATAAAGTAATGTAAACAAAAAGTGTAAGATAATTATGTAAACATTACGTCGGGGATTTGGTAGATGACATATGGCAACATCTCGTTCACGTCAGACGTATAATAACGAGATCGGTGACGGGGGGCAGCATCAGTGGTGCAAGAAGTCTGCTAGTGTAATCGCCAATCCGTGGAGCGTACTTATTAACCTACAGCAAAAGAGGCTTATTCCTTACATACCTATTATAATACTGTCAATATACGTAATAATATCCTCCAGACCGAATTTCAGCCACGGCGGCCTGCCTCAACGGAGACTAGCCATCGGCGCAGGACAGGATTATAGTGCCCAAGTGTATGCGCAAACACAGGTGCACTCTCTATTCCCTCACTCTCATAATCCGAAGGGACGGTAAACCGACACGACTAGAGAGGACCAACGGACCAACGGCTTTTCGTGCTTTTCGATGCACGGGGGTGAGACACCGCCAACTTCCTGACTCTGGCCAACTACTGAGAATTTCTTGACAGAAAAACTCTATAATTAATTTTTTGCCCCGACCTGGGATTCGAACCCAGTACCTCGTGATCAGCAGTCGCACTACTACAACCACTAGACCAACGAGGTAGTCAATATACGTATATTATTTCTGTATGTATATAAATTGTTTGATCTGCCTAGTGGGTCTTTAGGGGTACCGGGAGTCATTGAAGTCCCGGGTTCGAATCGTAGGTCAGGTGAAAATCTGTTATTGAATTTTTCTGTAAGAAATTCTCAATAGCAACTCGATGTCAGAACGATGGTAGTGTTTCACTGCTGTTCCTCGGAAAGCACGTAAAGACGTTGGTTTTACGCCTGATCACTATAAGAATGAGAGAATAGAGAGTGCACCTGTGCTTGCGCATGCACTTGGGCACTATAATCCTGTCCTGCGCAGGATCCCGTTCAGTCGGCCGCCGTGACCGAAATTCGGTTTGGAGAATTATGTTTTTTTTATGATACCAATTAGTGTCACTACGAAACTAAAAGTGTGATTTGACAAATGACGGAATTTATTGTCTTTTTAAACCTTCATTATAAAAAATAAGTAAAAAATACCCACGCTCATTAAACATTACAAAGAATGAAGTACATAATAATAACGTAATTTCCTTGTTGAGAATACGAGAAGGCCGTGAGAATTTATGATGAGGGATACGAAATATAGACGGAAGTTTGATAGGGCTGCCTCGCGGCCAATACTTGATGTGTAGTGAAAGGTATCGGCTATTACTAACTGAATACTAGCGTAAAATCAAATCTTGCACAATAAAAAGCAGTACAATGATGTTTCGTATGGTTAGTGATTTCGTTAGACTTCCTGTACATGGAGACGTAGCGTATACGTGCAAAAATCGCGGCAACGCTACTGCGGTATGCTGCGGACCAAGCGACGAGTAAGGCATTATACATTAAATCCATACAGTATGAAAAAAGGCCTAATATGAGTAGGGAATATGATAGATACTATTGAAATGATTAAATTGACCGGGCTTTATGAATAAAGTCTGTTATTGGGCAGAGTAGTAAAATCATTTAGGTTATCACCAGACTATGTGATAAAAACTAATGAAGTTTAAATCAGTATTAATTACGTAGCCCATTTTTTTACTTCTATGTTCTAACTTTTACGTAGTCTAATTTGACTTGTCATTATTCATATTGCCCGGCCATTGTAGATAGTGTCCTGAGTAATCACAATGTAATGGACCTACCATTATTACATATATAGGTACACTAACTTGTGGTACTAAGCCGTGGTAGCTCAGATGGTTAGCTCACGCTGTAATTTTCACAGTACTCGAGCAAACCGAGTTCGATCCCCGCCGGCACCAATGAAATTGTTAATTGCATTTTTACGTGATGATTTACCACGTGCTCGGCGGTGAAGGAAAACTTCGTGAGGAAACTTGCATGTCTGAGAGAAAAAAACAAAAAATATTTCGAAGACATGTGAAGTTCGCCAACACGCATTGGGTAAGCGCGGCGGACACTACCTTGCCCTAAAACCTTCTCAGAAATGACGGGAGGCCTGTGCCCAGCACTGGGACGTATGTAGGCTGTAACTTTAACTTGTGGTTCTGCTTCAGTTCAGCTTCGGCTCCATGTATTCAGTGTAAGCCTTAGTTATTACTGGTTCTTCTAAATTCCATCCTAGTTGTCCAGGGTGACAACTCTTTTGCATTTTGTTTTTTTTTTATCGAGATCAGACGTAGACACAGAAATATCTGGGAGCAGCGTCATTGCTGCGAGATGTCTGATGCCTGCTGGGATCAATCCGCCTGATAAGCGTGACGATAATGGCAAATCTTTGCTAAACGTTAGATGCCTAAGTTCGGCAGTGTACTCTTATGGGCATCATCATCGTCATCATCATCATCATCATCAATGAAGAAGAATACTTGAATCTATAAATCTATATATGTAATTCGCTTTTTTTTATAGAAGAAGGGGAAAACGAGCATGCGGCTCACCTGATGTTAAGTGATTACCGCCGCCCATGATCAACCTCAACACCAGGGGAATTACAGGTGCGTTGCCGGCCCTTTAGAAAGGAGTAAGCTCTTGGGGACGCCGTGGTAAACTATTCCACAGAGAGGTTGTACGCGGAAGAAAACTCCTCTTTTAACGTACAGTGGTGGACCGCCAAGCATCATGATGGTGTGGATGGTAACTGAACGTTTGCCGCGTAGTGCGTTCACGAAATTTGGCGGCTGGGATTAATTCGAACAATTCCTCAGAGCAATCTTCATGGTATATGCGAAAAAAATTTGCAAAGAGATGCAACATCTCTTCGCAGTGCCAGTGAATCGAGCCTACCGGAAAGCACTCTGTCGTCGACGATTCGAGCCGCTTTGCGCTGGATGCGGTCAAGTGGAAGGAGCTGGTACTGGGGAGCCCTAGCTCAGAGATGGGAACAGTATTCCATGTGCGGCCGAACCTGCGCCTTGTAAAGTTGCAGGCGGTGTGCCGGCATGAAATACTGTCCCGTTCTGCTGAGCACGCCAAGCTTTTTAGAGGCCAATTTGGCCTTCTCTTCCAAGTGACCACGAAACTGCACGTCACTCGATATGTCGACGCCGAGGATTCCGATACTGGCTGAGGCAACAAGGGGAGTGCCTTGAAACTGAAGAGATACGACAAAGTGGTCCTTTTTAGCGGTTAACGCGCAAACTTGTGTCTTCTGGGAGTTAAACTGGACTAGATTTAGTCGCCCCCAATCCGAGACTCTGTTCAGCAAAGACTCGACTTCAGACACAACTTTGTCCCGGCGCTTGGAGACGTTTTCCCGAGAAATATTGGCTCGGCCGGTGTAAAGACCACCAGTGCTGTCATCTGCATAGCAATTAATGTTTGCAACATATCATTGATATGCAGAAGAAACAGCGTTGGCGATAGCACGCAGCCTTGTGGAACACCAGCATTAATAGGCTTGCAATCGGAGCTTGCACCGTCTACAACGACCTTGATGCTCCAATCTGCAAGAAAACTGGTGATCCAATCGCACAATTTCTCGGGAAGCCCATAGGAAGGGAGCTTCGAAAGAAGCGCTTTGTGTCAAATCCGATCGAAGGCCTTCGCAATGTACAAACTAACGGCCAATGCCTCCCCCTTGGACTCTACTGCCTCCGCCCATCTGTGAGTTAGGTTGACCAGAAGATCACCAGCTGACCGACCACGGCGAAAACCGTATTGGCGGTCGCTAATCAGCTGGTGATCCTCAAGGTACCTCATGAGCTGGCAGTTTACAATGGATTCCATTGTTTTGGAGAATAAGGAGGTGATGGCGATAGGCCGGTAGTTGGACGGGTCTCAGCGGTCGCCTTTTTTTGGGATCGGGTGGACGAAAGCCGGCTTCCATGATTTTGGGACTACGCCTACGGAGTAGGAGTACCAGAAAAGACGCGTTAAAACCGGTGCCAACTCTGGAGCACACGTCCTCAGCACAATTGGGGGGATTCCGTCAGGTCCACTCGACTTGTGGATGTCCAGGGAGAGGAGTGCTTTGCGAACCGAGTGCTTTGTGAACTGCACTTCCGGCATTGAGCACTCACACCGCGGGATGGTCGGCGGCGAACTCCCCCCGTCATCGAGATTCGAGTTGGACGCAAGGAAAGACCCTAGAAGATCGGCTTTCTCCTTTGCGGTATGGGCCAGTGAGTCGTCCTCCCTGTGCAGAGATGGAAAAGATGGCTGACAGAAATTCCCCTGGACAGCCTTGGCGAGAGACCAGAATGCACGGGTTCCAGAAGGAAGGCGAACTAGTTTCTCGCCAATTCTGCCAATGTGCTCTGACTGTGCCTTTGCAATGACTCTTTTGAAGGACCTAGAGGCGGAATTATACTTCTTTTTTAGAGCACTGGTGTTTACATCCCGGAACGCTGATGCTTCAGCCCAGGCTTGGTAGCACTCCTGCTTATAGCATGATGCTATTTTACAGGAACGGCCAAACCATGGCTGAGATTTGCCTCCAATGGGCACCACAGAGGAAGGAATAAAAAGTTCCATACCCTAA